TCCCCTTCTGCTCTAACCCCTGAGAAAAAAAAGTCACATTGCAGTCTTAAGCATTTGGCAATTTCTTGGTCTCAAGTCAGAGAAAAACCTTATTTGTCCACCTGAGACCTCCTGTTTGTGAGAGTTATTTGGTAAGCCATTTTTTTGTCATATTTTTCCTTGCACTTCTGCTTTATCGGGGAGACAGGCCTTGCCTTATAAGCCACGCAAACTGGGAGCCCAAGTTGCTTTTCGCCACTGTTTTTTTAATCACAGCATCAGGAAAGAGATAGAACAGCAGCATCCAAACTCTCAGTAGACATTTCCTTCCACTGCCTGTTTATAGGCACAGATAAATGCGGAGGGGGTAAGGGGGGGAATACCTTTAGGGCTGCAGTTTCTCAAGCTCATCTTCAGGCAAATTGGGATTTCTTATGGTGAACATATCTTTCTCTTATCTTACAGGATCCCAGCATGAACAGCAGATGCTTTCCAAGCTTTAAAGCCATCTTCAGCCTTGGGGATTTCCCCCCTCCTCTCCTTGTTTGGGTAGAATAATTAAAAGTGAAGCGCTTTTAATGCATTGCTGTCAGTGAGAACCTGAGCCTGAAACAGGGGAGCAAGGACAGTTTGTAGTGCACTAGAGTCCCATAACTCAAACATAGCTCAGATATTGCAACATCAGGCATTAAAGAAACACTTGGGAGAGAACATCAGTATTAGATGGGTTTGGCCCTGGGGTGTTGCTGTGCTCCCTCATCTTCCAGCTGGTGCTGGGGGAGGATCAGGCCCAACAGCATGTGTTTTCAAGGGGGCTGAGCTGATGCTGTTAGCAGAGGAAATTCACTTTCCCACGGGGAATGACAGCTGCTGCTTGGCCCTCTGCTTTCTTTGCAGCTCCAGCTACACCTTTTCCTGATGCAGCAGAACATGGTGCTGCAGCTGCGGCCCTGCCAGGGACACGCACCAAGGCAGCCACGTTCCTCTTCTCCTCCATCAGCATGACACGCTGCTTCCCCTGAGAAGCTGAACCTGAAATTGGACATCCAGATGTATGCACAATCAGAGAGCAGTCTGAGGTGGCAAGATGCAATGTACTCTGCAAACAGCATCTATGGAAGGGGTACACTTCTCCCACCCCAAACCCTGCTCAGTCTAGGTGAAGCCCAGGCTTTCCCTGGGGCCCAGCATCTAGAAAAAAGGCAACTTCTGTCCTAGAATACACAAGATTTCTGCCTTGTCACAGGGCTAGCTAGAAAACCTGATGACAACGTGTGGGGGAGCATCTGTAAAGAGCTGGAGCTATATGGTTTCACGGAGGCTAACGAAAGGCAAAAGACCACAGTGTGTCCTGCCAATCCAGATAGAAAGATTACTAAGGCCGCTGGCACTGCCTGGAAGCCTGCCATTAGAAATAACTCTTCAAAAATAGAAGCGTGCTAATCTCAGGGACCTGCTGGTATTGTCAATGACATTAATGAAGTGTTTCAAAAACCAGAACAAATGCCTTGGCTTTTTGGGGTTGTGCCACCCCTTGTAACTTTCCACAACAACTGAAGAGGGGTCTAGCTGCTGCAGCACTTGCTGCTCTTTGTGCCACTCTGCTTTCTTGTGTAGAGCTCACTCCAAAACAGCAATGTAGGGCTGGCTTGGCCAGACTCCAGGGGAGCTCAGCACCTGTGCAAGAAGAGGGCATAGAGCATGGCAAGCCCTCAGTACCCAGGGAAGAATCAGGCTCCCAGGAGTGATTTCCTCTATGAAGCAAAACCAGATACCTAATGAAAAGAGCACCTGGGGAAGGCAGAAGTTCACTGTCTTCAAGCCTTCTTGTCTCAAGCTCCTCTGTGCTCTTTTCTACTCCCTGCTTCTCCAGTTCCTGCCTCCTCTGCCTCCCTACACTTCTCTAGGTCTCTTCACATCAGAGTCTTTGGTTTCAGACAAACAATGCAGTGATGCAAAGGCCAGAAGTAGCCTTGCAGTTTGGTTATGCAGATATTACAGTCAGATGCAATGGTGAAGGGAGGGCACTTCAAGACCCCTGCACATGAGGGGGTACCACAGTGCATGTTGACCTGCCCCTCTTCAGGCCTCTAGATATTCTCCCTCTCCTCGCCTATTCTGCTTCCCATCATCTCCTCCTTACTCATCTCCTTCACTGAGCAAACCCAAAGGGACTGCTGCAGCTGCCACCATCTGCCTCACTTCCCTGTGGCTGGCTGTCTTCCTATGCATGCTGCTCCTACAGCCAGGTGCTTTCCAGCGCTGCTGGGGGTAATAGCCTCTTTAAAGCTGCTTTTCTTGCTCCTTAGAGCTCCCTGCAGCCAGGGGTGAGGAGATGAACACAGACACAACTTTAGTTGTTTTCTCTGTCTCTGGGTTGTTCCTACAAATCCCTGAGGATATCCATGAGGACAAATTACAGAAAGAGCAAGAGCCACACACAGAAACCAGTCATTCCACCAGGGCCAGGGGCAAGAGGACAGCAGAACTTACACCCACTGGCAGACAATGTTTTCAATTTCTGGATGGCAAGCGTTGAGGCTGGTGGGGAGGACAGGACAGACAGAGAACAGACGTGCCACCAGCCTGCTGGTCTTTGCCCTTGCTGATCTCTGTGATTCACAGCCTTTAAACACACACGCTCATCCCAACTCCATTGCTCAGGCTTTGCAACTGGGGGCTAAGCAAATAGCACTTTATGAAGAAGGCAGCAGAAGTCAGGGCTTCTGCATTCTGCATCCCACTCCTCCCCAACCCACCGCAGGACCCCTTAGGGCATAGACTCACTTGAGTCTCTTACTCACTCAGGTAGTACTCTGCATACTGTGTCCTGAGCACACTCAAATCTACTCAAGGGGCACAGCCAAGCGTCTGTCCATCTTCTCCTTTGCCTGCAACTCTTTCTTGGCAGCTTTCGCACCGCTTCCCTCCATAGGTGGCAAACAATAATACTTCTTTTTCAGTATCTATGCCAAGCATGACATCCACACTTCTTGTTTACTCAAATCTAGGACAACAAGTTTGATCTCAAAGGCAGAAAAACATCACCAGGGACCTCTCTATACACAACTTAAGCAGCTATGGTAGGACTCACACAAAAACAATGTCTTAAGCTCAGTGCCCCCTCTCCTGGCTGTTAACATGCAGTGCATGCAGGGACCCTCCCAGGCCATGGCCTTCTTGGGGTCATCGTTTCAAAATCCCCAAGGAACTACTGAGAAAACCCAACACGTGCATTTTAATCAGCAACAGAGAGGCTACTGCAGACTGGAACAGAAAGAGCAACTCAGTGTCTCTGAAACTGGCTAATATCAGCAGTGTCTAAATTTCCAACCTGTCCAACTCAGGCTGAGATGACGATATTGTATGGGCAGAGAACGCCAACAACGTGAAGCCTTCTGCTTTCAATTTCATTGACCCTGAGTCATTGCAGATTTACCTCAGCACTGAAGGGATTGGATATATTTGTGCATATTGAGTCAGAGAGCACAACAAACTAGATTAAAAACTCAATACAATAGTTAATATATACATTCAACTCCCAACACAACCCCCAGTAGGTTGACTTTCCATAGCAATGCACACATTATGTTAATCAGTTTACACAATCTTCAAGGTCCTGCTGACACTAGGTTTAGTTTCAGAACAAAGAGTTGTTTCTCATTCTGCAACAACATACACCACTGAGATAGAAGATGCATCCCAAGGCAATTCCTCAGAAGGTCTTCAGCCAGTAGACTTTCAAGGGAAGCCCAAACTGCCATAGATTCTTTCAAAAGCAGGATCTGTTTGCTACAGGCTTAAATCAAATTGCCTTGTCAACATAAAACACAGAAAGGCACCTGTGCTAGCAATCAGTTTCCAAAGCCAGTCTTGCAAAACAGAACCATCAGATATAAGTTGCAAGTGTAGGTGGGCCTCCCCCATTACTCACTTGTATGACATGATGAAACCACCGCAATCTGTTACTCTTCCACCAGTTTTGTGCAAAATCCCAGTGAAGACACTGCTCAGCATTTAGGGCTCAGGCTACTATTAACTCTAGCGAAAGCACTTCTGATCAGGTAACATCAGAGAAAGAGAAGAAACGCAGGCTCTGTTCTGCATGCCTGGCCACTCTCCTGCAGGGCCAACAGGCTCTACAGGTAGGACAGATTAGGAAAAGTGCTTATACTTAAAATTATCAGATATGAGGCAGCCCTGAAGAAGCTCGGCAGAAAGGCTTTGATAGGAATGATCAAGGAAACTGGAGTGATTTTTGAAAAGGGCAATCTTTTAGATGCTCTCTCAAGTACTTATCAAGTAAGGATCTGAGCCTCAGCAGATGCAGCAGAGCTGTGGAAACCTGGCTGGCAGATTTGCTGTAAGAAAATAAGACACTGCCTATCATCCAGAGGACAAAATACACTCTAATAAGGTACTGTTATCTTCATTTGTCTGAAAAGGAAACTGAGGCAAGGAACAGCTGTGACTTGCCTTCTGCCAAGCACGGAGACAGTGTTAGAACTAAAACGAAGCTGCGATCTCCTGAGCGATGTGATACGCTACCAGACAATGTGTTTTATAAAAGCACACGTCTAGGGACAGAAGAAGCTGTATGTAAAAAAAAGCATTCGCCACTGTCCCTCTATTGGCTTATGTCAGACCTCTGTTGGGCAACTGGCTGAATTAAAATTTTGAAGGTAGGTCTTGTAATAGCTGATCACCAAAAAATGGCTAAAAGAAAAAAAAAAAATCACTGATCGAGATCAGAGAGGCTTGTGCTCCTAACTAACTCAGTTAGGTGCCACTGTTTCCCTGATAAAAATAATATGTGGTACTAAAGTATGCCAGTTCTCAAAACATTTCTTGCTGCTACTTGGCCTGGTTGCTGTTTCTTCATCTAATTTGATACCTATAGATCTCCGATACAGAAATCAGAACGACACCTATTGCTTCCAGTCTGGCAGAAGCGATCAATAGTTTCTTTCTGCCAACTCCCTTCCCCCCCCCCCCCCCCAAAAAAAAAAAAAAGAAAAAAAACAATCAAAGCCAGAGGACAAAATAAGACGTCGTTTAGGGCAAAGGAAGAACCAAAAATGTTTTATAAAAGGAAAATTTAGATTTAGATCATACATCCATGACTGCCTCATTTGCATGACAAAAATACAGAGAAGGGATAAAGAGAGCTAAGAGTCTTAAGAGAAGCTAATCTGAAACACAGGCGAGGAAGGAGTTTTTCAGTTTCACTAATCATTCTGACAGTGATTCACTGCCAGAAAGTGACCCTCCTTTCTGCTGTGTCAGTAAATGCACAACTCTGTAATGTTTCATGAACAAAGTTAGGCGCAGGAACTCATTGTCTAGGGAGGCGGTGGGTTCTCCAGTGGAGGCGGTTTTTAAAAGGGCTGGTTAGACAAACATCACTCTGAGATGAGTTAGGCAGAGCTAATCCTTGCTTTAGGAAAAAGACTGGGCTGTAGGTCAGCCCATAGCTCTTTTACATACTAATGTAAACACATAACTAATCAGCATTGCAAATTTTGCCTAATTTTTATTTGATTGTAATGAAATCCATTGTGGCAATACTGTAAAAGAAATGGTTTGTAGAATGTTTTTCATGAGTGTTAACAGCCCTTCGGTTTAAAAGCTGAGGGTCATTGGGAGCAATGACTCTTAAAAGTCCCTTTCAGACCTCTTTTGTACAGTTCTGTAATGAAGATTTATTATGCCACTTTGGAAATATGCAAGTCCAAACTCCTCTAACTTATATGGTTGCATAGCAGCAAGCTAAAGGACAGTTTGTGTTCATAAAAATTACAGAGCAGGCTTTTGTTAGTTATCTTAAAAGGCTTCTCAGCAGCAGTGGGTGTCTGGAGCAACAATGAAGTATTTCTGGATCGAATAAAGCATTTCAGCCAGCTAGGGGAAAAAAAAAATCTTCTAACCAAATCCTGTAATTTAAAATCAAAGGATCAAATTTTAAAAGGGTCCTACTGGTGTTTATTACTAAACATTCAGGTTTACTAAAAGTGATAGTGACTATCTACAAAAAGTCAGTCCTGCAGTGACATTGAAGACTACTATCAGGGAAAAAGGACTATGTCTCCTCACTCTGAAGCTGGCTGCACAAAATGCTGGTTAGTGTACATTGTCTGCTTAGATTTATTCCCAGCAGCAAAGAAGAAAAATATTCTTAAAGATGTAGGAAAATGAGTTTGGATCCAAAATCAGTCCAGAAATTGAGGAACTAGTGATTTTGGTTTTTGTAAACCAACAAGATTTCAAAGTCACTCTCTCCTTAAAACAATCCTTCCAAATCTAAAATGCTTTTCATCGAAGATGGACTTACACTTACTTCCCTTGAAGCTCGAGCACTGAGCACAGTTTTGATGTGTGACTTAAAAGAGACTATGCTTCAGCACTTGAGACAGCACAGTACAAACATGGAGACAGTCAATTCCTATCCACTACCCGCTGCTATGCCATCAACTAGGCAAAAATTCCAAAGTCAGGGTAACATGGAATCACCTCCATCCATCCCCTGTTTCATAAAGATGCATATTTATAAAATCAATAGCCTCCAATGTGCCTCTGTTATAAGCTATCTCCCATGACTTGAGCAAACTGCTGTTGCCCACGTGGGATAAGTCAGACAGGAAGTACTTCTGTGCTCACATGACTGCATGCATTTAGCTCCCAAATGTGTTACCTAAAAGAGAAAAGGAATCATATGAACAAGACTGCATTATCCCTCATGGCCACAGTTTTGCAAAGGCCTGCACTTTCCTATCCGTGACAATTTTCCTGCTGCAGGGAAATTGCAACAATTTACATGAAGAACTTCCCCTTACAAAATATTTATTCACATAAAAATTCAGAGAAGGAAAAATATACAAACACTTCATGAAGAGGCATAGGCTATTATGTGCCATTAAGTGCAGCAGCATTTGATCTTGCACTTACTGAAAAACCCTTCTCAAGCACAACTTCGAGTTAGTCTCCTGTGGCCGGACAGCTGCCCCTGTGCATTTCAGACAGAGATGCCAAGGTGCTTTTGGATGCAGCACCCAGGTCTCTCTCATAGCCTCAAGGGGCAGAGCTTTCACTCCTCTTGTCCAAGGAATGGCCATGCTCCCTTTGTACTCGAGGTCCTTTACCCAGTTTGACATATCTGATATCAAAATACATCTGCAGTTACAATAACAGCTCCCACAAGACTTGGATCTCAATGTACAAAATCTTGAACGTTTTGTTTCACATCCACTCCCACCTCCCAGTGATACCCCAAAGAGGAGGGGAGTGCTCAGTACAACTATGATCCAGCCCCTCCTCTTAGCTATTCCACAAGGGCCACCTTCTACAGATGTTGAGAAACACCTCTAAAACGTCTAACATTTACTTCCCAAGGATGACCATTCTGCTGACCTCAGGAATTGCTTCCTACAGAAGGAACCATGCGTTTGCTGTCTCCCATTTAGCCAAGGGGATTTACACAAAATCCAGGTTTAAGGACATCTACATCTATATAGGATAATAACTATTCTGCTATTTAGCAAGTTCCAATTCCAGTTGCTCCCACTGGCAAGAATGACATTTACTAGGATGTTTTACTGATGGATCAGAAGGAAGGAACCTCGATTCATTCGCTCTGTCTCTTCATTATTAGCCAAATTTAGCAATCAGAATTTCTCATGGGAAAACAAATGGCTCAGGCTAATAATGGGGGGCAGTTTCCATTAAAGTTGCTGCTTTTGATCCAGCCCAGACTGACACATTGTTCCTTCCTGATGGCTCCTCTGCAAAATGAGCTGAGGAGTTCAACACAGGCCCCATTGTAGAGTTATCTCCATCACAAAGGCTGCCCACATCAAATGAGAACACTCTCTGCCCCTATACAGAATCAAGGCACCCTGATGGTGGGGTGAAAGGGAGGGAGAGAACAAGGCAGCATTTGAGACCTGCAAGGCAACTTCAATTGTTGCATGGATAAACAGAGGGTATTCTTCTCTGGGCACTGATACTGCATACAAAAGCTACCAGAAAACAAACAAACAAAAACCCCTCATGCCTAATGAAGAGTAGCTGCTACATCTCTGCATAACATGATATGGGAAAACGTCCGGGCAGTTTTACCACACTTTTCACATTACTAGGGTTCCCCAAAGAATGGGAAAGATGGAAATAGCCGTTCCCAGGAGTTTGGAACACAAATGGCAAGATGAAATATAAGGAATTACACTTTTTTTTGCCCATATAGATCTGGTACTGTAAGTATCAATTTAGAAGATAAAGAGTAATAAATATTAATTATACTTTCAGAAAAGCCTCCCATATCCTTTCAGCCATGGAGGAAAGACTAGAACTGCAAATCCTCAGGAGTGGTATGAGTAAGCCATAAAGCTATCCTGTGATGCAATCTATTTTTTCTTTATACACTTGCCATCTGCCTTTAAAGTTTGCACTTGTCTAATCCAAAGATGTTATGGAGAAAGATTCCCATTAATGGACAAGGAGTCTGGCCTTTCCCAAAGCTGATTCATCTTTCTTTTCTGTGACAGACAGAGTGTAGATCTCTCAGTGTCCACTGCAGGTCCATGTTCCTCAGGCTTTCAACCATCCATATCTGTGAACTTCCTCTTCCCATAATTCTGGACCAGACTGGAAGCCGTGATTTGAGAAGCCTGTCCCTTCTCCCAGCACTGAAAGTCATTCAATCCTTTCTGGCCAGCTCGAAATAAGGCTCGCTCCAATTCATCCAGCCGAGCCACCAGCGCCGATGTGTCTTCGTTGTACGCGTTCTGAGAGGAGTCCATAATACGACGAAAACGGCTAATAAATGTCTAAGGAAGATAAGCAGAATTATTGACAGATAATGCAAAGATTTCTCAGGCTCAAGTGCTAGAGGCCTGAGCTTTTGAGACTGAAAAGCCAAAGATGTAGGCATTGCCCCATCTGTCCACAACCAATCAAAGGCCTGTCAATGGCTAGCAAGGCTGTTTGTACGTAGCACCTATAAACCTTAGATGCAAAAGGCAGACCATTTCCTGCTTGAGTTACAATCTATTCCCTCTCACTTCACAAACAGTCATTGGCTTTAGAACTAGTCGCAAGAATCTCATGCCACGGTGGTTGCTATATGAACACACGAGCTGCAACTTATGAACTGCTTGGATGTTAAGCCAAAATTGTCACTGTAAAGAATTCAATATGCTGATAAAACCTTAACCAGGAACCAAATTTTAAATCCTAAAAAATCCTTAAAAAGCTAATCCTTAAAAAGCTAAGCAACAAGGCTCATATTTGGGATTTTATTCCCAAAAGTAAAGCTAAAGGGGGGAGGGCAGGGAAAGGGGTTAATGCTCCCTGAAAAATTGTGCTTCGTTATTTCAGGAAAAGGTTTTAGAAACATCAGCATTGTAATAGTCTAGAGTTTTACTTATTAATTATAGCATATGTATTCTATAAGTCTCACTTTGACTTTTTAAGCACTTCATAAACACTAACTAGTTATGCTTCATTCACATGTTTTAATTTTAGTACCTAAATACTTGGGAGGAGAGGGTAAGTCTTTTTCTTTTTTGGTCAAATAGCACAACTACCCTCTTGTTTTGGTCTTATTAAAGTAAAAGCCCACCTTCCCATGTTCTGTTTTGTCTGTCAACAAGTGATCCGTGCTAAAGTGGCTCTTTTCCAAAGATGCGCATTAGCGGAAAGCAGAAAGCCAAGGAAAGGTGTGGTCATCTTCTCAATGCACAAAGCAAGGTTTCAGTGGATAACTCTGAGAAAGCAGCAGTGCTTTAAAGCCTCTCTGCATCAGCCTTCGTTTAAAAAAAAAAAAAAAAAGAGAGAGAGAGAAAGCCAATAGCAATCATCTCAGATTACTTAGAAAGCTGGCTGAAGAAATCTCAAAGCTGTTAGTGGTTATCTTTAAAAAGCTCAAGGAGGACAGAAGAGGTTGCAGAAGTCCAGAAATAGGCAAAGATAGATACTATCTTTTAAAAGAGAAAGCAGAGATGGGGAGGGAGGAAGAGTGAGCCAGGGAATTATACATCCATCAGCTTAATATCAGTTCCTGGAAACATATTGGAACAATTAAACTATACTTAAAATTTTGGAAGAAAATAAAGAGAAGAATGACAGCCCATGTGAATTTGTCAAGAACAAACTTCTACGGACCAATTTAATTTCCCGTTATGGCAGGATACTGAGCCTTAAAAAGGGAGGAAAAGCATCAGAAAGATGTCTGTCATTAGGCGTTTTCATGAGATATAGCTAAACCACTCTTTAGCTGAAAATATAGGGTAGCTAAAGACATTTATTGGTAACTCTTATCAGGAAGGGAAAATATACAGAGTGAGATTCTACAGGGTTCTAACTGAAACCCAGTACTAGCGGATATTTTCATTAATGAGCTTAATAACAGGATACAAATTATGCTTATTAAGTTTGCAAACGACATGAGGGAGGAGGAGGAATGACTGCAAGCATGCTGGGGGGGTAGAACTGTAATTCATAATTATCCTGACAAATTAGAGATATGGTCTGAAAACAACAGCAAATACAGGATGAAGAACAATGGTCTGGGTACGCAATCTATACCATTTCACTGTGGACTGCAATCTGAATGTGCATCAATGTCAAGCTATTATGAAAAACAAGAGTGCTGCATCAGAATGAACAAACTGCAGCATGGCCTAAGAAATTCATAAAGTAATTTTTTTTTTGTTTTGTTTTCATCAGCACAAGGCAAGGCTGAAGCAGGAGAATGTATGCTGTTCAGAGCACTGCACTTCAAAGCAGATGCATATCAACTGGAAAGGCTCCAGCAGTGCACAATAAGGACAAGTAAAGGCTAGAAAGCATGACCCACAATGCGATACTGAATGAATTGGGACCATTTATTCCAGTGTGGAGAAACCAGGACTGGGAACACACTCAACAACGTTCAAATACAAAAAAGCCTATTGCAGGAAGGAAGAGAATAATCTGTTCACTGTGTTTACTTTGGATGGAACGAATAGAACAGAGCTTATATTGGAGCAAAGGAGATTTAGTTTAGACAATAGAGGGAGCCTTCTAAGACCAGGACAGTAAAGCACTGAAACAAGATTGCCAAGGGAGGTTGTGAAACCTCCCATCATTAGGGAGCTTCAAAAAAAGTTAGATAAATAGAAATAATATAGGGCGAATTCATTCTGCCTCGGAGCAAGGGCACTGACTAAATAATCTTACCTCTCCTCTAGTCCTGTTTTATTGTATTTTTATGAAATGTCATATTTACAGTAGAAAATTCCAAGCTAAAGCTACACTCCTGGATGCATGCTTGGGACTTCCATTAACTGCACCAGGCTCTGCAGTTGACAAAAACGATCACACAGCCTGATCTAGAAATCCTTTCTCAAGTCAAAAGTCATCTGGATTAAAACAGAATATTTTTTCTGGGTATTGCAGAGCAGTTGGGAACAAGGAAAAGATGGAAAAACATCAAATGAAATTCCATGACTTAGTTCAATTACTTGCCTGCAAGATAGTCTGAGCTATCTCAGGATTCTCTGGATTGTCAAAGTTCAGGAGCTGGGAGCCAAATCCATAGTAGTATGGTCCCATTTTATGCAGATCAACCACATTGGCATCAGCACTGAACACTGTCCTCCAGGCCTCCTTGTAAATCTTTGGCAGTTCCATAGAAATTATTCTTCTCTTGCTGTCATGTAACCCTTTAGCAAGCCACAGAGGTATTTCTAGCTTTGATCCCTGCATGAATGTGACAGAAACAAAAGTTGTCCTCCCCAGGAAAATACGTATAAACCCCCCAAAAAGACAGTGAGCTTTAATAATGAAGAATAAAGTATTACAAAAAGTCAGTTCTGTTTACAAAATTCTACTGTGGCGAAAATATGAAATAGATGCACTTCAGAGGCATTAATTATTTCTGCCAGACTCTGAAAGCATTTTATTGGAGTGGATAGGAGACTATGAAACGCAGGAAGAAAAAGGTGCAAAATGACTACAACAAAGATAAAAGATACAACAACAGCTAAAAGTTTCTTTCCAGCACCCCTAAAAACAGAGGCAAAAAAAATCACTCGTATGTTATCCTCGCAGCAAGAGGGAGGTTGTTTTTCAAGAAAATAACTTGAAACGCAAGTCTTTTCAGCACTAGGGCCCCAGATCAGTCCAGGGCCCCATCTGGAGCCTGCAACACATGGAAAGAAGTCTGCAGTATCGTGGGGAACCCATGAGCTCTCTGAGCCCACATGGGAACAGCAGCCATGCCCTACAGCTTGAACACTGGATGCACGAGCCAGGGAACCATTCCACTAGGGTTCAAAGTGAAGAGGGAATCCATACTTCCTAGGGTTCTTGCCTCTTTGTAACATTTAGGAGAAATAAGACTACAAAACGCTTGAGAAGTGAAGGAAAATTCTAGCTACATAAATCGGCTCAGTGGCATGCTCTGCTCAGACACAGGACGTGCCATACAGATGCTTTCTTCCCTTACAGCTTGTCCTCCGATTTCACCAAGCATCTCAAAGGTCCCATGCTGCAACCAGAGCAGGGTACAGGCTTCTGTACCAAAACCACACGCAGCCCGAGGCATCAGATTGCAAAGCCACCAGGGCCGATTCCTGATCTAACGAGAGGCAGAGGGATACCGGGGGAACCTGCTGGGGAGATCTCCCGTCAGCAGCTCCACGCTACACTGTCCCATGCCACAGCTCGGTGGGGCGGCGCCTACAGCTCCCAGTGTACCCCGCGCCGCCGCACAGGTGCCCGCCCGCGCCCCGCGGCCGCTGCTGGCAGTTGTAGTTCCTGCTGCCCCCGCCCCGCGGTTACCTCCGGAATGGAG